AGTTAAAATTAGTTAAATTTAAATAGTCATATATAAAACTTAATTTCTTTGTGAGAAAGCTTAGAAATTAAGCTAAGAGTTGGGAATCTCCTATATTTATACGAAAGATGACCAGGTACAATGTAACTACAAAAACTCAATATAGCCAATAGCTAGGCATGGTACATGCGTCGTTGATATTCAGGTCAACCTAAATACTTTCCAACTATTAATGACACAAAAATAAAAAAAAGCAGCATTTTACTCGTGCCTCCCCTTTGCCCCAAATCAACAATGGCATCTGATGGGTTCAGGCCGTTGGACGAGAAGTCACTAGTGGAGTACATAAAATCGACTCCTTCTTTGGTTTCAATTTTGGGAAAACAGTTCGATAAACTTGAAATCAAGGAAGTTGGTGATGGAAATCTCAACTTTGTCTATATTGTTGTTGCCCCATCTGGTTCGATTGTCATCAAACAGGTGCCCTTCATCCTTTTCTGATAGGATAATTATTCTTCATCGTTTAGTCCACTCGTAGTCAATGCTGGGCTATGGAGTTTTCAAGTTATTCAATATTTTTCCCCCCAAATTAACTTAGGGATTCCCCTATTGAATGGCAACTAAACACTTTTCCTATTATGTTGTTTATGTTTCTAAATGGGGATTGTGTATGCAGGCTCTTCCTTATATTCGATGCATAGGAGAGTCATGGCCAATGGCAAAAGAACGTGCTTACTTTGAAGCCACTGCACTAAAAGAGCATGCTCGTCTGTCTCCTGAGCATGTACCTGAAGTTTACCATTTTGACAGGACTATGTGTTTGATTGGTATGCGCTACCTTGAACCTCCTCATATTATATTGAGGAAGGGATTGATTGCTGGGGTTGAGTATCCATTGCTTGCACAACACATTTCAGACTATATGGCAAAGACTCTTTTTTTCACCTCCCTGCTTTATCTTACGACAACGGATCACAAACGTGCAGGTGAGCCATATTAATATCAATGACACTGCATATTAATCTCAATGGCACCTGTGTTGTTTATGCATTAGGCTTTATGAAGTTGTTCACAAAAGTTTCAGTTTAGATGGATAGATGTCAGTTGTGTGAATTTACATGATTGGTTGTTCTATAATCATACTTCTTACAATGGTTGAGCTATATTAGTGAAGGTAAGCGACATTACTGAAAGTTATCTAAACTTCTGGTAAAAATGGTAGATATTGGTTGTGAAGCATGTGCTCTGGTTTCTCCTTGTTTAGTAAAAGTTGTATCCTTGGGGCCACTTATCAGCTAAGTTGCGTGGACTCTTCATTTTTTCGATGCTGCACTCATGTCGGATTCTTCAAAAATAAGCTACTTTTGGAGAATCCGACCATTTTTGTAGAGTCCGAGCAACATGGCTTATTAGAAATCAGAGTTTGACCAGGAGAGCTTTTGCACTTTAATCAACAAAGTTCATCTGGTGATTAACAGTTTATCTATTTCTGATTTAAACTTGCGGTGATGAGCTCTGTGTCAGCCAGCTTTTTGTCACTGTCATTTATAGCCATGATAATAGACATTGCCAATTCAAAATCTGGATCTTTTAGCTCATTAATACATCTTAACTTGCTCATCTCATCCTCCATGTTAAGGAAAGGGAAACATCGGTGTGGCATTGCTGCACTTGTCATCAATAATAACTTGCATTTGTGGTGCATTCCGACTGATACTTTGTCATTGTTACTGTCCCTGTCTTTTAGTGAGGCAGTACTTTTATTGAGGATGAATATAGTTAGTCAAAAGATCAGAAACCACTTCATGATCAAATCTGAAAGTTGGTCGAGCTATCTATTTGCCTATATATTCTTTTTGACAACGATGGTGTCCGGCCTGCTTGGATGCACCTCAACTACTGCACTGGGTACCTGCTAAGTTGGTTTAGCTATCTTACAGAATTGGTTCAAGTCCTTGCAAGTGTTTACAGTTCTACAAGTTCAAGTGTATGGTCTTTTGTACTGTTACAGTTCTTGAGCTTCAGAGATTTGTAATGGCGGACAAGAAAAAGGAGAACAAAAGGGAAAATGCGAATCTTTGGCCAAAATATCTGAGATTCTGATTCAATGACTTGTGGATTAGAATTACAATTATCTATACAAGTTCAGCTAACCACCTAATTGTCACTAACATCCATACTAATGTATGGAATTCAGTTAGTAAGTGCCAGGTCCAAAGTGTTATTCCTAAAACTTTTCCCTCTCATTCATTTTAAAACAGCCACATGCCCTTTTCATTTCAAATGCAGTACAACACCTCAAGCCTCACCTACACTCACTCATAGCATTTACACATATCTTCAGCCTTATAAGGGTGTATGTATATGATGAGTGGCTTCTGTTGGCACATTCCAGAGCCAATTCATTATTATGGATTAGAACTATTTACTTTTGGTTTTTGATGGCCACTGGCGAGCTATATCATGGCCATGACTATTATTTCTATTTGATTTTGACTTCTATTCATTTTTGCAGTTGCTGAGTTTTGTGGAAACGTCGAGTTGTGTAGGCTCACTGAGCAGGTTGTCTTCTCGGACCCCTACAAAGTGTCAGAATATAATCGCTGTACATCTCCTTATCTTGATGCCGATGCTGAGGCAGTTCGCAACGATAATGGTTTGAAGATTGAAGTTGCTGAGCTTAAATCCAAGTACGTTTGTGATTCTTTGAAGATGTTGCTTTAGTGCATCTAACTGATTTGTTTGACTTTTTTCTGTTTTTGATTTCTTTAGCTGGAAAATCACAACAATCTTTATTTAATACTTTACAGGTTTTGTGAGAGAGCCCAAGCTCTTATACATGGTGATCTCCATACTGGTTCTTTGATGGTCACTCACGATTCAACCCAAGTAATTGACCCAGAATTTTCTTTCTATGGGCCAATGGGTTTTGATATTGGAGCATTTATTGGAAATCTAATTCTGGCGTACTTTTCCCAAGATGGACATGCAGATCAGGCCAATGACCGCAAGGTATATCTGTTGCAACATTTGCCTTTTTGTTCTCTGTTTTTACGACTGCAATCTCCTTGATTCATAGAAAAGGCCTTTGTATGCCAGAAACCAGTTTTTTTTTTTAAAAAAAGATACATGTCCTAATGTCATCACGAGAAATTGAGGCTTGTCTTTAGGCTACTCTTCCAAAGATATGATTATAAATTTAAATATTCATCTAGAGATTTCAACGAGTTCATAATAAGTGTTCTGAATATGTAATCTTTTCAAGTGTGGTTTCTTGACTTTTAAATTCTTTAAACATGTTCAAATTAACTTCCTGTGAGATGAAAGATCCTTATATAACCTTCATATGCTCTGATGAATTCTGCAATGATTGAGTATGAAAAGAAACTATCTGCGTTGTGAACAAAAGTTAGCAGGTCACACCCTAGTCTCCCTACAGATAAGGTCTTAAATTAGAGGGATGGACAAAAGTGAGAGATCAGACCACCTTTATTTTCCTTTCACGTCTGCTGTCCATTGCTTCTTGCTTAAATTTTAGTGATGCATTCCTCATCTTATTGGTTTTTGTATTAGATTTTTTATCCGGTGAGGACATGTTGATGTGATTATGGATTTGGTAGATTTGACATTTGTTTCTTTCTTCAATATTTGAGAAGTCAAGAATGCACTGACATATAAAGTTTTTGGCACTTGTGAACTTGTTTGTTTTCAGTCATATAAACTTTGGATTTTGAAGACAATAACAGAGACTTGGAACCTCTTTCACCAAAAGTTTCTTGCACTCTGGGATGAGCACAAGGATGGTCCTGGTGAGGCATATCTTCCTGAAATATACAATAATACTGAGCTTCGACAACTGGTAAAGCAGAAATATATGAAAGAACTCTTTGAGGACACCCTTGGATTTGGTGCTGCTAAAATGATAAGGTGATTGGTGAATTCTTGTTTTCTAATCTTGCTTCTATGCATTTTCTCTCTCTATGCCTTTTTTAGAATAAAAATAATAATTAAATTTAACAACCCCTTGCACAGGGAAGAAAGCAAGTAGCTTGATTCCCACGACAATTTTGGTAACTCAGACGGCACAAAGGTGCTCAATGAACAATTATATACGTGTCATGTGTGTGTGCGTATGTATACAGATGTATGTGTGTGTTTCTTTATGAAGGTGGACAAGATGCAATGCTAAATATAATGCCAAATAAGTTCTTTTAGGAATAACATACATTCATGTCAAGCAATAAGTCTTGTTCCGCAACTCAAGACCAATGTTCTTCTTAATCCCAAGAAAGTTCTGAAGTCTTGGTGCATGTGATTGAATGTCTTATTTTCTTAATAATACACAGGAGAATAGTTGGAGTGGCTCATGTAGAAGATTTTGAATCAATCAAGGATGTTGCCAAACGAGCTGATTGTGAACGACAAGCGCTCAGCTGTGCAAAGAAGCTTCTGAAAGAAAGACGAAACATCAAGAGTATTGAGGAAGTTGTTTCCACAATTGAGCAAGTTCAGTTGCAGTAATGTCTTAAGTTAAAATGGATGATCATGTAACATGTTGGCCTTTTGACTAAGCGTTGATATGTTTGCTTTATGACTAAGCATTTTGGAGTCTATTAAGATATATAAAATGCATATTGACAATAAATAATCCCCTTTTAGGTATACATTATGCATAAAATGGTGAGTTTTCTTTGCTCAATTGTCATTCTATTGGTGGAGGAACATTATCATTTCCAGTTTATTTCAGCACCAACTTCATATATTTTCACATTCTGTTCTATTTAGTCGATCTTGGTAACTCACTCCAGCTAGCATGACTTTGCTTTTATGGTGACATGCTTCTACTTATTTGCTATGGATATCTGAAGGCATGGAAATAATCCTATAATCTTTTGAAGGCATGGAGAAGTACCAGGCAACATTATTTTGTGGACATTTAACTAAACATATAAAAGAGGAAACAATAGTTGGATAAATTATATTGTAGCTTCATAATTAAGTCATATGAGTGAGATAACTTGTAGTTAATCCTTTGTGCTTATTATTATTATTCAACAACACATATAGCCTTGAATTTGTACAAAGACATTTAGATAATATTTTTCATATTTGGTCTAATAAAACAAGTTCATTCATTGTGGGGAATTTAGCTTTGTAATCCCTCCAAAGTTGATCAACCGTCTTTCCCATCAAGTCAACAAAGTACTGATTACTATATCCAGTTCTCATCTTCTTGTTAAGCTGTGCTACGAACCCACTTTTCAAGCTGTTACAATAATCAAGAAATCGAGCAGTCACATCGTATCCCTGGTCCCATCGATCACCCTGCCCTGGTTTCACCCAGTGGCTAGGTGCATAACCAGCTTTGAGCCTCACATAATCAGCAATCCCTTCAATCAATCCACCTGGAGCCCGTCCATTCCCGTTCCACTGCCAAATGTGAGTATTCTCGTGGTATAGTACTCCAGTAATCTCTCTTTTGACGTTACCAGAGTAACTCTGAATGTACCTACAAAACATGAATTTATGTGGCACAGTTGAAATTTCATCACGTGCATCAGTTCTTATTTATTGAATCAACTTTTAAGCATACCTGGCGCTAACATGAATCTCGTTGCCGCTAGTATAAGCTACTCCACCCATGTCATCGACGTACATATTAATTATTTGCACGTTTTTGCGGTCAGCAGGAGAGTTCTGCTGGAAAATGTTCCATATGAAGGAAGTGGCTGCTGCCAATGTTTGTTTGCTATATTGTGCACCAATATCTCGGTTGAAACGGGCACCGCCAGGGGTGTTTACGGCCCTGTTGGTCACCGTGTAATCGACAGCATTGATTTTTTGGGTAAATATTGCAAGGATAATTATCAGAGAAGCAAGAAAAGAAATTATTTTAGCCATATTTTTGCTCAAAGTTTATAAAAAAAACAATCACTTATATAAGTTTTTCTATAAACATAAAATATTTATACTGGGACTAAGTCAGTTGAGTATTCACAATTTTTTTTTCTTTTAAAAGGAGAAGACAGAGTCAGTTGAGTGTGATATGAGGTTTTTCATTCCTTATTCCCATTTATATATTACAGTTTCTTTCCTGTTTTAGCAACCTTTTTTTATTTTATTTTTCGATGAGATATTTATTTAAGAATTAAGATAGACAGAAGTTCTTAATAGATATACTATGAAAAAGAAGAAAAGTGGGGAAAATATAATTTTTAAATTTTAATAAATTATTCTTCGTCGGGTCCTTTACAAATATGTTTTTGAATTTTTGGTATACTCAATAAAGAAATTATATAATAATAATCATCATACGGATTATTACTAAATTATCTTATATCTTTCTTCAAGAAATAGTAGTATAAATCATTTATTGAACAAAATTAAAATGAACTAATTAATATCTTTTTTATTTCCCAAAATTGACATTTGGTTTAGATCAATTTTTGCTTGGCTAAAGGTGTAAAATATGAAAATATATAAAAGGCTTGCTTCAGATGCTGGTGAACATACGTATCGAATTTGACCATGGAACCAATGGAATTTCTCTTCTTTTTTTTTTAATAAAAAAGAATAAATATATAAAATTGTCGTTAAAAGCCGCCGAGTAAGAGAAATGGAAAATTCAAACTGCTTTTTAAATAATAAAGCTTAAAGTTTTTAATGATTTGCTAAGTTTGGCAGATTTGACCAAATAGTGTATCTACGAGATGACACGGTTAGAAATCACCTATGTGAGTGTGACGTGTAAGCCGCTTCAAAGAGAATTTTATGTTAAAAGCCTATTCTCTATACACTCATGAAACCAGGAGGTGTTCATGGCTGAAACGATCACAACCGTAAGAACCATAAACGGTAAAAAGGGTTAATTGTGTGACATATGGTTGTCTAGGTATACACCAAAGCTCGACGGTTCAAAGAATATCGCAACTATCGATTGACCGAGTATATCCGACATATGTTCACTACGGAAAAGTCCAAGGGGAAACCTACTTATCCAGATGCAATTTATCCTTGCTTGTAAAGTACACACTCGTCCGTGCATTCCTTATGTTATAACCATTCCCCATTCATGTGGGGGATTGTTGGGTATGTAGCAAGAATTAATGGGAAATGGAGGAAAGATGAAAAGAGTGGAACTTGGAAAGTTGGGAACTTGAAAAGTCCTCTTATGCTTCAGTGAAAAGGCATTTCTCCCTCATCGGTGGTGGAAAGAAAAATAGAAGAGTTTAAATATAGAAACACTCATATTAATTGTTAAAAGGGTTGGAAAGAGGGACCCCCCTCGAGCCGTCATCGCTCGCTCAGCTTTGGCTTTGGAAAATGATCTGAGAGATTATTTTTTGGACAAAGTTTGTTTTAATTAGTTAATTCACCGAAACGTTTCGATTATTCAGTTAATTGACCGATCCGACTCGGATCCGCGCGCGACCCATTTTATTTAAATTTTCCGTCGTTAGAAGTGATTGTTCTGAAAGGGTGCAACTTTCAGGAACAGTCATGACCATTTGAAATGTTGCAAACTTTCATGAATGGTCGTGTGGATTCTGAAAGAATTGCAACCTTTTCAGAACCAGTTCCTCTTGCCTATAAATACATTGATTCTTCAGATTTGTTCCTTACGAATTTTTCTGATTTCTTCTTCTTCTTCTGCACAAAGTTTCTTCGTGTACTTTACTGTTGTTGAGTGGTTTGCTGACACTAGAGTTTTGGGTATCAATACACTGGTGATTGAGATCATTCTATCCTAGGAGGACATATTCCAAATCAAACCTCGGATACTAGAGGAGAATAATTTCCTTAAGGGGACACTGTGCATTCAATGGGCTTGATTTTTTTCGTTCTATCTTTTTCCAGATTCTGGTATGTTTTACAGATTTTAGTTGTTCTTAATTAATTTATGTTCTTCTGTTCTTACTGATTCATTAAAACTTTGGTTACTTTGTGTTTCTGCAAAGTTTATTGGAATCAGTAATTTTGTTTTAAACACAAATTGCTAACAAACAATTGAATTCCATTCACCGTTCAATATTATTATGTTTATCACTTCCCTAATTGAATTCCAGTTAACTAAGTAGTGGGAAAAATATATGTATGTACGGTATAATTTACTTGAATAACAAATGATATTAAAGGGATCAATAGGATTTCGATCCTAAAAATGTGAACACACATAAATTTTGTACTAAGAGATTAAACTAAACAACCCAACGATCATTTCATGAAATATTATTGAACTAATTCATGGACCAGATCCAACTGGTACTTGCATTTATATTTGTTTTTGTACTTTATTTTTTTGGTCAAAATGGCATCCAAAAGATCCAATTCCATAGCCATTTTATTTTTCCTTTTCCTTGTAAACTTTTCCATAGTTGATTCATGGAATAAAATTCGTGCACGTCGCCCTGTAAAACTTCAATTTCTTACTTCCATGACATAATCTATAACGGTGAACGTAAAAAAGGCAACATCTGGGAGCTCCAGCTAGCAGGGAAAGTTTTTGCAACATTGGCTGGTCAAAATTATTTTGGAGATTTAGTTGTATTTGATGATCCAATTACTTTGGATAATTAATACTAATATTCATTCAAATCCAGTTGGAAGAGCATAAGTTCTATAAGCCGTATATACTTTTAATAATAAATTTAGTTGAATGATTTTATTAATATAAAGACCTAAATTGAGTGATTTTATTGATATAAAACAAAGTTTAATAATTTTACTAGATAAATTATTAAAGTTGAGTGACCTTTTGAGATATTAACTCGTCAAAATGAGATGTATCGTTACAGTTATCTATTCCACAATTTATTACAGTTATCTATTCCACAATTTAATGGTGGGCTATTCTTAGGTGATTGGTTTGGTCCCTCAAAGTTACTTGACCTCATGTTTTGGTCCTTAATAACACAAAGTAGTAGGGCTAACTTTACAAGTGGATTAATGGTCCAATTTCAAATCAGACAAAAATATAATTAAGAAATAGCCATCTTTTAAAGCTGAAATAAGTTTAGATAAAAATATCGTTAGTTAAATACGAAAATATTTGTTCGAAGTTTGACAAGTGAAAATAGTTTAAACTCCAAACTCTAGCCACAAGAAGCTTTTTGGATAAATTTTAGGAATCACGTAGTTTTAATATAAAATTACAATCTATTCCTCTTTAGTTTGTAATTACATTAATCCCTTAAAAAGTAACACAAACCGGATACATAGTATGTAGTTCGAATACATTAAAGAGTATCTCGGATACATTATAACATAAATCGGATACATAATATGTAGCTCGAATATATTAAAGAAATAAGGGATTTTAGAGGTTTTTAGAAATAGAAGGGGATATTGAAAATAAAGGAAACATAAGATGTATATTTCAGTAATTTTTCCAAACTTTTGTTTCTCATTAATCATTCACTTTTCTTGCATGGACCAACTGATTCCGATCCGTGAAAAGCTTAAATGTTTCGTTAGGCCCAAGTCCAAGTAACATATATCTGAGGCCCAAATCCCAAGCTTGCTTCTAAAGGAAATACTATATGATCATCTTTGACAACCTTTTTTAGTTATCATTTTATTTATTTTTTTGTCTATGATATTAAAGATATGTATTTTATTTTTACTTGTCACTTTTAACACATCAAGAGAAAATTATATTTATTTTCTCTATTTTACTCTCAACATTAATTGTTTATTCCCCAAGTCATTTTTTAATACGAATATTGTAGTAAAATATTCATGTCAATCATTAGTTCTTTAAGAAATATGCAAAAATCCAAGTAAAAACGGCCATAAGTTTACTGCACTGATACTGTAAGTGACATTGCCTTCTTTTATGCCCAACTAAGTTTTTCTGGACACTTTAACATATATATTGTATTTTTTTTATAAGATGCTTTAGCATATTTTTAGTAAGATCAAAAAGTTAAATGTCATTATATATAACCTTTATCATATTCTCTTTTTTGAGTTTTTAATTAAGACAGGTCTAGAGCGAGTAAGAAATGAGATAAGAAAAGTACTTTTTTAGATTATATTTGAGTATCTATGTTTTATATAAATTACAAAAAAGAATGAAATAACTATTAAAAAGAAAAATCATCCAGCAACACGCGAGATGTTCTGTGCATCGGACTTTATCAAAATCTTTTAATGCTAAGTTAAGTTGCAACAACAACAAATATAGCTCTCGTACATCAAACCTGATATATGGTAATCTAAAAAATCAAGTAATTTCATCAAAACTCAATATGACAATCTCTCTTTTTTCCACTAGGATCACAAAATTATGACATAAAAGAAGATTAAAAAGAATGAAACAAACTTGAAGCTTGCTAGCTAACTAGTGACCTTTACCCCTATGACTTGGCCCAGAATATGCTTTTTGTTTAACTAAACTCTCTACCACTGAAGTAATCAAAGAGTGTTCCTCCTTAAGGTTTCTTAACCCCTCCACTTTGATGCAACTTGAAAGCCACACAAAAAGGAGTATCATTGCAAAGGCATTTAGAAAAGACTTGAAAGTACTCTTGTTCATTTTGCGGTCGTTGTATTTTTTTTGGTAGACGAACACTTGCAAGAGAGCGATCGACCCGAAAATGCTAAAATTCTAATTCTTGTTGTTTGATTTGTGTTTCAGAAAGAAGGATTTGTCAATATATAAAGGTGACAAAAAGTAGCATGGGGGTTGGTGTAACAAAGGTATGTTTCTTGGACTTTGGATGTCCTTGTACTTTGACTAATATTTAAGAAGAATTGAACGTCTCTTTTTCAAAGATTGGAATAATTTTTGGTTTGAAAACGTTAAATCATACAGGTATATTAAAATGTGGTGCATGTTATGAAAGAATTTTACAAAAGTCAAACAAAGGAACATTCAGTATAATTATATTCCTCCATCAGCTCCAAAGGAATGACGGAAAATACGTACCATAGTCAAAACTCAAATATTAAACTCTTTTGTGCAACACCGCCCATGGATGTCTCTTTTTTATTTTTAAAAAACATATTTTTTAAAAAAAAAAAGGAATATTTCAAAATTGTAACTATAAAACAATGATAAGCAACAAGTTAAGCACTTACGCTACTGTTTTAATGGTGAATAATATATTAATAAAAATGATTGTTCTGTGATCACGGATATATAGTTTATACAGTAACTTTTTATGTGAAAACTAATTAGTCTAAAGGATTTTTTTTTTATCTTTTATAGATGCGTCTATCCATATTCTATCGATCACGTAAAGAATAACACGCAAATTTCCGAAATTTAATAAAGTCAACCATTAAGTTATGTCACAGTTATAATTATTTTTATCACCGCAACAAACCAAATAAACGCTACTTTGTTCTTTTCCTTGACGCACCCACCTGGGAGCTACGGTACAAAATTATTTAAAAGGTATTACAATGATCTCCGTTTATAGATAGACTAGTCATTTTGTAACACATCGCCGCTCTTTTTATTTATTCTTTTCGCTTTTTTTCTTTCTTTTTTTATGACAAGGGAAACCCGCAGCCGCTACCCTTTTGGGTGCGCACAGGGTAAAACCCCGCTCCTATGCAATAGCTCGCAAACCGCATAGGAGAGGTAACCCGCACTAGGCAAGCCTGGTGTGACGAGCTCGACCCAGAAGGCAAACCCTTTGCTTTCGCTGGCAAGGGGTTTTGAACTTGAGACCTCCAACATGGAAGTTTCAAGCCCAAATCACTGGGCCACCCCAAATGAGTCTTTCACATTGCGATCGAGTGAGTCTTTCACATTGCGATCAAATAAGAAGAGTCTACCAAGACTTCCCCCACAAACACATTGGTCGAAAACATGCCTCCCTTCCTCCAACCCACACACAAATTGGTGTTCTCACAAATGTACACGTTCCCCTACAAAAGTTTCTTTCTTGTTGTACAAAGTCCATGTTGTATGAGCTGGTTTGATACGACAATTTTGACCAAAGATTAGTTGCCTCAGTTATCTACCTTTCACCCAAGTGTCGAATATAAATTGGACTAAAAGTTAGATATACCGACTACATTGCAAATGTTAATTTTTTAGTATAAAGTCTATTATCCTTTTACCAACACAAACTATCAAAATGTGTATATATCCATTTACTACCATCAGATTTACCAAGTTATTAATTACTGTAATTTTTTTTCAATTTGACAGCACGAATATTAACTCTTTAGTCTTCACACGTTCTTTCCGTCTAGAAATTTCTCTCCACGGATTTTTAAACCACCATGAAACACATAATAGTTAATGAAATGTGAACATTACAACAGAATTCCTTCGACGGCATGTTAGGACACAATCCAAAATTCAATCAAAACGACTACCAAATCCATGTGACTATTTAATAAGAAGAGAAAATTATGCAGAATAACAAACATTTACCTTAAGTACTATAGCTACAGTTTAAGAAAATTGTAAATCGCAGCTACAATTTCCCCAATTCTTGCTATTCACTTAATTTGTATAAATACGAAATTTGCATAATTCAATTTCTGATGGTATAAATACAAAATATTGGATATGTTAACCCCCGCTATTTGTTTACAATTTATGAAAAATACATAATAAATTACCATGTTTGGCAAGTAAAATATACAAACGAGACTCTAAAAAAATCCTTAAATGTATAAATACAAAATTTGTATATACTTACCCCTATTTGTATATTCACAAGCGAAATACACAAATCGCAACCTCCATAGCAAACGGAACTATATCTATGAGGCACAATTATCGAAACTATAGTTATAGAAGTCTTATTATGTCTTTATGTTTGCTATTTCTAAAAGGTTCACAATTATCGAAACTATAGCTATAGAAGTCTTATTATGTCTAGTACGTTTGCTATTTCTAAAATTCTCTTTGAACTATATGTTGGGCTGCCACCAAGGAGGAGGTAGAAGCTCAGATACGAATTCATTTGAACCCAATAACTTCTCGACAAATGTAATGGAATCAAAAAATTTGAAAAGCAACCGTACGGTTTCAATGGGTCAACAGTCCCAACATATGCTGCACGCTGTTCGAAAAATGCAATGGCAAAACGTGAAGAGTAATATGAGAGCACGAGCAGGTATTCTTTAATTTTCATGGTCAAACCAGGTGATGGATTACCCTTGCATATAAGCTTCAATTATGAACGTGACAGGCCACCGTTTTTCATGTAAACAAAGTTTCACCTGAGTCGGCACAAAATAGCTACCCAAAATTCAGAAAATTATCTACCTGACTCGGCACAAAACAAACAGTGCTCAGTATAAAAGATATATTCCAAAAAACGACATACCTTCTGAAAATTTCTCGAACAGTAAAGATGGATAATAACGTTTATGTGTTGACTGTAGCAGTGCTATGAGTCAAAAAGTTACGTACCTACGAAGAAGAATAACTTCAGTCGAAAAGAGAGAAAAGTCATTTTCTAATATCTTATGACATGCAAACACAATAAAAATGACTTATTATACCAAAGTTTGGTATAGTCATATCAGATCATAAGATATTACCGTCCAAGAAGTCTAATGAACTCTAAAGCGTTCCTTCTAGGACTTAATTTGGGTTAACCATGAACTTAGCACCAACCATTAGTCTGCCTCAACACTGCATCTTAGCAATCCACAACCATGGAAACTGCTCCTCACTCCAATCAGCAGTTGCAGTGTAGTGAGGCCTGACCAATAACGCCAAAGTACAGATAAATGCAGACTACTACAATTCCTTTCTGTAATAATAAAATAAAAGATGAGCACTATCATCACTGGCACAATTAAACTAGAAAAGAAGAGAAGTGGGAAGAGCATAGCATACATAAAGGCAGATAAATATACCCTTAAACAGAAGAATCAAGCAAGTCGAGAACAAACAGGCACTGCTTTCCATCAAACCACCTTTCTTGACAGCATACCAAAATAGAAGTTTTAACAACCAAGCTGTTGTGAAAACAGATGTAATCAAACTGGTGAAAGCATTTTTTGTAGTACAGGAGCTCCCTAGATACATCACCCACACTAATTTCTCAGTTTTGGAGATGTAAGACCTACTAGTTTGAGCAGTGTTATTAATAAAGTTGTTTCAAAAGTCTTACATAAAAGGATACCAATAGTGACCCTGTTATTTTACCCTTTCCCCCCAAAATATAATAGTTAGGATTTATTATTTGAACGTCACTGTTTGAATTTTTTTAAAGCATAGTGCTAGCTGAAAAAGTTCAAGGTGATAGTGTACTGAGTTAAGGGATGATGTAATAGAGGTTGTCCAAGAAAATATAGTGGGTGAGGTAGAGGATGATAATTTCAATGATCCCGATCACGTTTTTAGTGGGTCGGGCTAAGTGGGCGGGTCATTAAATGGTTTAGATGGACATTTTTTTATTTTTTGAAATTTTGGTTAGAAATAAAAATTTCATGTAAGCGAATTTTAATTTAAAAAAATCAATTAAATAGGTAGAGTGACTTAGTAAGTAAAAACTCATAGTTGAGTGACTTTTGAGTTAAAAATCAAATTGAGTGGCTTTCTGATAAAAGAGACCACAGTTGAATGACCATCTGGACCTCCACAAAGTAAGCCTAAGACAAAAATGAATAGATTGTTTAACTGATTCAAGCAGTTCATGACTTCATTTCACCTAACGTTATCCATCCAAAGAATGAAGCCCCGCTTGACTTCAAGCAAGAGAGAAGACAAATGTATACATAACACAAATTGGAAATAACACTTCTGGAACACACAGGTACCACCTACCATGATGATCTCAAGCTCTATCACTTTAACCTGGTCCTCCACACTACATGAGATTTCAACTTAAAGAGGAAATAAGTGAAAGATGCGAGAACTACAAGTAACATATGAAAATAAAAAGAAGATACAAAAAATCACAAATGGAATGTGGATTAAAAATACCCTCTATGACTCTATCACCCTCTTGGTTTACAATGACCACTTGAAGGTTACAAAATCTTCAACAAAACAAAAGCAGCAATTAACAGCTTCAGAAATCAGGAAATATCTCCTAAAGTTAAGGACAGATCTAGGTACTTCTGAGACCATGAGCAGAGGGGAAGAAGAGAAATCAAGAAGAAGGAGAACTTACATATTCAATAAATTTCTCAAGAATAGGCAGTGTACAAGATAATTGCAAAACTTTTGGCCGAAAGACTGAAAAAAGTGATACATAAGCTAGTGGATAGACAACAAATGGCTTTCATCAAGAATAGGCAGATCATGGATGCAGTATTGATAGCCAATGAAAGTGTAGACTCCAGAGAGAGAGACAAGAAACCAGGGATCCTATGTAAACTGGATATCCAGAAGGCATATGATCATTTGAATTGGAACTTTTTGATGAATCTGTTACAAAGGATGGGATTTGGAACAAAATGGCTAAAATGGATTAGACAGTGCATAAGCTCAGTGAAATTCTCTATTTTGATCAATAGAAGCCCATGTGGCTTCTTCTCGTCATACAGAGGTCTGAGACAAGGGGACCCCTTATCCCCTTTTCTCTTTATCTTGGCCATGGAAGGACTAAACAACCTATTTCAGACAGCAAAAGTAAAGGGCTGGATCAGAGGTTTCCAAGTGGGAAATAATACAAGAAATAATCTAGAGATTACTCATCTACAATATGCAGATGACACTCTAGTTTTTTGTGATGCAGTAGAGGAGCAGATGCTGATTTTGAGGGTCATTTTCAATATTTTTGAGGCTGTTTCAGGTCTGCACATAAACTGGAGCAAGAGTTTCATCTATCCAGTCAACACAGTGATAAATATTGAAGACCTAGCCAATACACTAGGAGGGAAAGTGGGTGAATTACCAACAACCTACTTGGGAATGCCTTTGGGGTCTAAGAGCAAGTCAAAAGAAATATGGAGTGGAGTAATTGAGAAATGTGAAAGGAAGCTTGCAAACTGGAAGTGTCAATATTTATCGTCAGGTGGCAGACTAACTCTAGTTAACAGTGTCCTGGATGCCCTTCCCTCGTACATGATGTCATTATTCCCTATACCAGCCAAGGTAACCAAGAGGTTGGATGCGATTAGGAGGAACTTCTTATGGCAGGGAAGCAAAGATAAGAGAAAGTACCATTTGGTCAAATGGGAGGAATTGCTGGTAAGTAAGAGAGGCGGTGGACTCAATATCATAGAGCTGAAAACCCAAAACAAGAGTTTGATGATGAAATGGTTGTGGAAATTTGTCTCACCAGAAGTATCTCTATGGAAGGAAGTAATAATAGAAAAATATGGCATGGAGGATAAATGGATGACAGAGGTGATCACCAACCCTTACAATTGTAGTGTATGGAGGTCTATCAGGAACCTATGGCAGCTGGTCAAAGAGAGAACAAGCTGCAAGGTGGGCAATGGAGAAAAAGTAGCTTTTTGGAATGACATTTGGTGTGGACAGGAAGCACTCAAACATACTTTCCCTGTACTACATAGTCTGAGCCAAGGACAAGAAGCAACAGTGGCAGAGTTATGGACAGGACAAGGGTGGAACCTGTTTCTAAGAAGGGGACTAAATGATTGGGAGATGACAACCATAGCAAGATTTCATGATACAATGCAAATGGCTACCAATCTGACAGGGGAGGAAGATAGACTAGTATGGAAGGGGGAGAGACTGTAAAATCAGCATACAGAGAACTCAGGTCTACGGAGGAGCAGCATGCAGGATGGCCCTGGAGGATGATCTGGAGAACAGAAATTCCCTACAAGGTGAATTACTTCACATGGCTCTTGGCAAAGTAGGCAGTCTTGACACATGAGAACCCAATCTACTTAAACAAGAGGAAACCCAATCTACGCTCTAGTTGCTATCTATGTGAAGAACAGGTGGAGACAGTCAACCATCTCTTTTTACACTGCAAATGGACTGATCAATTGTGGCAGATGTTTATCCAAAAGAGGAAGATTAAGTGGACAAAGCCTGGGAGTATTATAGAAGTCCTACAATGCTGGAACAGGGATGGAAATGCAGGAAAAAATGAGAAGAGATGGAGGATTGTCCCAGCTTGCATTTGGTGGACAATTTGGAAGGAAAGGAATCAAAGATGCTTTGAAGGAAAACAGAACAATATCCAGAAGATAAAGACTAATTGCCTAGGGCTTTATTATTTTTGGTGTAAGCAAGTAGTGATAGGAGATGCTGAAAATGTGTTTAATATTATTGACTGGTTGTAACTAGAAGATCCTAGGAATGATGTAAGTAAAACTTTTTGGAGGGGGACTACACTTTGATGTAGTATACCTATGGATATATAGAAGTAATGTTACCTTTCTCAAAAATATTCAATAAATTTCTCAAGGAATCAAAAGCAAGATTGATGATATAGAGTTTTCACATTTTTTAGTAAATGCTCATTAAGAAACTAGTTCCAGGAAGTTCAAAGAAAGATTGCTAGTGTAGAATGAAGAAGCACTCACATGCATAACCAAAGGCACTATCTTGGGAGACTGGACGTCTAAGATAACAGGGCTCGTCTAACATCATGTGGTACTGTCAAAAGTTCACAAGATCTTCTGTTAAACCAGGTGTGAGTTCTTGTACAAGAGGTCCTTTGCATCGATACACAGTTTACAAGTAGAACAAGTGAGCAGGCAGAATGTGGACTTGTAGGCATAGAGCACCTGACACTTTTTCTTGGCAAAGAAGGTATGCCACACATCATTCCGTCACAGAAGCAATGTAAAAGCTGCCACCATAGTTCTCACTAACCGATGCCTACAAAGTTGATCAGGTTAGGTCACAAATTCACTGTTAAAGTAGATTCTAAACTTGAATTTGTTATTGTAAAGAAAAGATTGCTATTTATCTAAACCAATAGTTTCAAATTCAAAGACATTCTAAGATGTCACACTCATTTTATTTTATTGCTACTTCACATTTTCTCATCCAGATATTTTTTTTTTGATAACCGAGAAATCCGTCTGTGACCCGCCCTTTGGACCAATCACAGCCTTCTAAACTCGGTGGATAATGGGCCCGCCCCTCTACCCTTCTCCACTTAAATACCGGGCTTCGCTTTGCATGGTGTGGGCCTTGAACCTGTGACCTAAGCCACAAATCCTCCACCTTTTGCCACTTGAGCTAGGCCTTGGGGGCTCTCTCATCCAGATATAATAACAATATATCCGAAAAGATGCCCTAACTTTATACTTTTACCTTTTTAAGCAAGTCTTCTTAACCACTATCAAAAAATAGATTTTAACTACAATTAAAATTTTAAGTATCATCTAAAGTTTAACTGGGTTTGCAACTAAAAGACTGCAGTTACTAATTAAAAAGGAGGACCAAAGGAAGCTATTTAGCTGCAAAGACAACTCCAACCAGAACAGCCCTGGAATCCTATCAATGCAGTATTTAACTACTTAACTTGACACCAGTGTTTTGGACGGCGAAAGGCGACAAGGGCGAGGCGAGCGGCGAGGCGCTCGCCTTTTTGAATTAAGGCACCAATTAATACCAAAAAATTAAAATTTTAATTGCATATATAAATATCCAAAATCTTAATAGCAATAACATATATTAGCAAATATTTCAATTCAAAAACTAATAGTAGATACTAAAAGTGTAGAACTTGAATGACTCAATAATTCACAAGACAACAATTGACAAGCAATACTAGAACTCTAAATACTATATTAATTAGTATAAAGCTAAATTAAGTAGGGAAGAAACAATTATAGAAGGATTAAATTATTTTTTTTTAAAAATATAGGCAGATTTCAGTGAGCAGTGAGCACTGCAACAGAACAGAGCACTCAGTTCACTACAACTGAAAACAGGGGACTCAGGTCACTACTACATTACCACTGGAAAACAGAGCACAGTGAAAAGGAGGTCACGAAGAAGAAGAGAAGAAGAGAAGAACTGAAGAAGAAGAAAAGAGGAGGTCTCGTCTCGTACCTGGCAGCAGTCGCGAAGAAACTCGACTCTCAACTCGAAGGGGTCGCGACTGAGGAGAAGAAGAGCGAAGGTCGCGAGGTGAAAGTTTGCAAAAATACCCAAAAAAAACCCTAATTTTGGCTTTTAATTATTAAATAAGACCTTAAAAAATAATTTTAAAAAAAGGCGAAGCCAGTCGCCTCGCCTCGCCATCACCTTTTCGTCGCCATAGATCGCCATTTTCAAATCGCCTCGCCTTGCTGTAGATAGGCGAGGGCCTTTCACAACATTGCTTGACACCCTTATATTACAAAGGGAAAAGGAATAAACTAATTGACGTACACAGTGAGACCATAACATACTTAAGAAGAACAGAAACACCTGTTCAACCGCTTTGATAATGAACTTTGGGCCTAGCTCTACCCCAAAATCAAGCTCGTGAGGTGAGGATTGCCTAAGACCATATAACGAGATTTTTTCCTCACACAACCGATGTGGGACTTCCACACCCCCTCGCATGCCCAGGATTGAACATTTGGAGAGTGGACAATACAAGTTGGGGGCCTAACATCGGGTAAACCAAAAATTAGGATGGGCGATCTACTACCATGATGTAGTATGTTATCATCTCATCTTAAAGCTAAGTTGTTACACAGAGCACATTTTTATTTACTTAATTCTTTCTGCTCCGATACCTTGGCAAAACTCAACTTAAAAAAGTTAGCTCATGAGGTGAGGATTGCCCCAGACCATATAAAGAGACCAACTTTCCCTCCGCACAGCCAATGTGGACTTCAACACACTTGTTAACTGAAAGATTGGAACAATTTTCCATGCAACATATGTCAGCAGACCAACAGATTGGGTACTCCCTATTTGCAGACTTGAATGAGTTTTTGATGGGTTTGGCAAAAAAGAGGATAGTCAACATCCAACACCAGTACCAGATATGGTGGGGAATTGGCCACCCATATAACAATCTAGATGGGTAGACTTCAATAACATTTTCCAATATTCATAAATGAAGTATCACAATGTATTGTAACTACTGCAGTCTGCAAGATTGTAATCCCGCACACAGCATTCTTACGCAATATCATCACCCTCATGTATTGTTAAAAAGTTAAACAACTCTTAAGAAGTAAAACTCCCTAGAACGATAGAAAGAATCTAGAAGAAACCATATCAATTAATGGGTTAACAAGAACAGCAGGACAGCCTGCCCCGTTTTCTGCAAATATGGTTAAATCAATATCTAGTAGAAATTCTTTCAACAATGCATACGAGTCATATCATCCTTTTGGTAACATGCCATAAACAAGGGAAAACAGTTTACAATGTGATACCATTGCAGACTGTAACTATAAGCAAAAACCATAAAGGGACCTAAACCAGTATCATGTGCTTAATCTTGCAAGGCCGACAGCCAGCAAACATATTTGCTTCCAGTATAGCTAAATTTCATGATTTCCACTAAGAGTCGGAAAGACAAGTTTGAGAAGAAGATCATCCGAACAATATTTTTCTTTATAAAACATTATATATGGATACACATCTCAACAAGAAAATAAATGAAACAACTTATTGTTACCTGAAAATGTGGAAGCAAGTTGTTGTAAACTTCTACGAAAACTTTTGACCTTGCAGTTAACCTGATATCACAATCTCAATAATGTCAGACCCAGTCTTCATTCATAACAAATCACAAATGCATTTTCCCTGTTACACTTCCCATATTTATTTGTGCTACTGATTGCAGTAAAAGAGGTAAATAGTATTATTTTAATTTTTTTTTTAAAAACAATGCAAAAGGAATCCAAAATATCCAAACAATAAAAATATTGATGAGATGTCATCATTGTGCTAGACAAGGTATTTACCAAAAGCACCACAAAAAATGACAAAAAAGAGGAAGAAGTTGGAAAGACAGTTTTCAAGAGTCCCTCCAGTTAATCTTCCTCACCAGCTGTTGTGGGGAATGTCCCCCTGTTTGAAGGTAAACGACAGGAGAAGCCCTGTCTCCTGTGTTAATACTTACATTTAAAAACATACTTCTTTTTATTTATTTATTTATTGTGGAAGGAGCAAGCATATGACAAGAGTACCACAAAAGGTCCTTCGATGGGTGAGGGAAAAGAAAGGTATTTCACATTAAATATATCAATGTCATAAAGGACATGTATTAAGGAGTCATCACTTACATGAGAATAATAGTAGGAGATACAAATACAAAAGAGTTCCTCGGAACAGTGGGTCTACACTAGGGATCAACATTGAGCCCCGATTTGTTTATCCTAGTTATGGTTGAGCTAACCCACACAATAAAAGATGAGGTCCCATGGTGGATGCTATTTGCTGATGATAGTGTGAATCAACAAAACCAGCGAGAGCGTCAACCAAAAGCATGAACTATGGAGAAGCCTTTTAGAGAGTAAGGATCTTCGGTAAAATAGAAATAAAAGTGAATATATGCACCAAGTTTAGTTAGAAGAGTAAAATTGAGGTGAGACTCGACGAAATTGCGGTGCCCAAATACAAACAATTTAGACACCAAGGCTTGTTGTTTCAAGAGAACGGAATAATAAATGAAGATGTTACTCATAAAAATAAAACTGGATGGTTGAAATGGAAATGTGTTACTGAGGTGTTATGTTGTAAAAGGATGGCTGCCAAAGTGAAAGGTAAGTTCTACTGAACAACTATAAGACCGAAAATGTTATATGATAATTGCTTAAGTCCAACATATCCATGGGATGAATGTCGCACAGATGCAGATTCTAAAAATGAATGTGCAGTCAATATTCGATAAGATTAAAAATGGTCACTTGCCAAAAGGTGAAAATAGCATGCAATGAAGATAAAAAGAGAGGTCGCTCGAGATGATGTCATGGTAGTACGTAGGTGTGCAATTATGATGCACTTGTACGTAGGTGTGCAATTATGTTGAGTGAGGATGTTAAAACGGATGACAGGGTAGACCTAAATCACATGGAAGGAAGTTGTCGTGAAAGACCTACAATTTCTTGGAATCAATGGAGATTTAGCTAAAGATAGGATACAATTGAAGAAAAAATCCATATAGATGATATCTACTAGATGAGAATAGGCTTTAGACTTGTTAGGGAACTTCTAATACCATTGATTGTTATTGTTATATATATTTAATTTATTTTTTCCTTAAATCAAGCTGAGTCAAGTCACCCTATAAAGAGAAAGCCGCGCAACCAAAGTAGCCCTTACTATACAAGGGGGGCGGAGCGCTAAGAAAGAGAAAGTGTTATCACTATACGAAATGAATTTTTATTTGGTATGATGATGACATGAGTTGAGCTTAAATAGAAAGGTGAGGATTCATATAGCCGACCCGAAGTTGTTTCAGATTGAGGTGTAGTCGTTGTGTAATACAGCAAAGACCGCAAGTCTGCCAGTATGTGTCCTTCAAAATTTTACTTGAGAAATCTTATCAAAATATTTACTTGGAAAACTACACTTCGTGGCAGTCTAATTTCCTCATCACCTTGGGTTCTGCATGTTTAAATAACACCACATTGAGTTTCTACTTCAAGATTCCAAGGATGAAAGGAATACAATAGCATCAAGAAAGAAATTGAAGATCGCAAAGAGGATTAGAAATACAGAAGCAAGTGCCAAGAAAATAGATGTGCAGAAGAAAATGAACACATACTGCAGATACGTGTAGTCTCATGTACATACCTTCTTAAAAGACAAGAACATATGTAAACCTCTTCAATATCAGTTGAAATTTTTAATTTTAGATACTGCTTGATAAGCTCGCACAAGCAACTAACAGCCTCATCCCATCCATCAGTACCGACATCAGGGAGAATGTAAATCTGATACATAGTCCTCTGCAGTACAGAAGATAACTGTTTCTTTGCCCCTGCTCTTTGATACATCTCTGCCAAAACGCACAAAATCTGACAATTGCTGGCTTTGAATATGTCAATCCATTCAGGTGGATTTCCAACCCACAAATCAATGCTTGAAATAGAAGGACTACAGTTCTGATTATTAGCACAGACCAAGGAAGCATCTAGTGAAGCTTCAGTGTTCCTGTGTGCAGGGAGGAGTTCAAGTATATCTGTCCTCAACTCCTCAGGCAATTCTTGAAAAACTGAGGTGTCTACTTGACTTAGAGAAGAAGGCATTAGACTGATGCCTCCTGAGACAGGAGCATTAATAACCACGTCCATATTTGGTACACTAGCTTCAGACAGTGTCTCACTTTTCATATCAGCAAAAAGCTTATTAGGATAAGAGACCACTTGGATTTCCTCTTCATTATACTGATGCTCCAATTATATCCACCAGAATCAACACCATGAGGTTGTAGAAACAAGATAAACATCATCACCAATATTAAACCACGACAAATACTAAGCTCTCCCAAGAAGAGGAGAAAAACTAAAGATACCTCATGAGCAGCAAAAGCTTCACCAGGTGCAGCAGGGCAAACAGAAGATATGTTTTCTTTTCCTGATACGCCTAATTTAAAAGATATGAGAAGTGAGGCAAAATCTTGTAACAAAATGGTATATATGTATAAGCTAATTGGGTTAACCAACTGCCTTCTGCAAATTAAAGGAATGCATCCTCACCTTTGCTTCTCTTTTCATTAATAAAATGAGCCAATTTTCCATTATACATGTCATTAATTTCTGAAAAGACCTCAAGAGGAAGAGACTCTATAACTCCTATATCAAGTTCGTTCATAGGAGGCAGAGTTCCAGCAGTACCAGAGGGCGACGCTGCAGTCATTTCAATGAAAGGTGTACTTGAATCACCCTGCAACTGAGCCTGGCGTTCATCAACACTGCTTTTACTGTTAGCTGCAATATCAGAGAAGCATATCGAATTCAGACTCATCCAGCATGTCTTCAGTGGAAAATGAACTCAATACAAGTTCAGATGATACTTTTTAGGTAAGAACTTGTTGAAAACACAGAATCGATGTTGGAATAAATTGACATGAAGAAACAACACAAGACCATCATACTAACTTTTTAACAGAAGCATTAAAAAATATATTTCATATCCATCAGTGCTGCTGCAATAAAAATCCCATTGAGTTTCTCGTGTTGTACAGAGAAAGGAAACAATCTAAGATAAACAATTATGATGTCCTCAAGTATTTTTAGGACACACAAATTCAAGAGATTCCTTTAAAAGGTCTACCACTTTTCATGAGCTAGAACACAGCCAGTGGAAGGAACCACAATAGAGTTTCAGTACCAGTTTAAGTGTGTTGGAAATATTTCTATCAAGCAATAGGCATGACTAGAGACAATAAATATTTGGACAAGCCAATGAAATTAAGTGAAGAAGTCAAACCAGCATCAGCACCTTTCTCATGACTACTGCTTCTGTTTTGGTTATTGGTCTTAGTAGAGGGAGCAGTGAGCCAAGATCTGATGGAGTATATCTCTTTGCCTGGATTTATGTCAATGAAATTAGTAGAAAAGCCAGTTCATAAATGATATACTGTCGTCATCATAACTGGAATAGAGAGATATATGAAGCGCAAAGAAAAGACCTTGCTTGGAACTATCTGCAGTTTCAAGCTTTGAGACCTGCAATCCCATGCCTCGTATGTCCTCCACATCTGCACAGCAATAGTCAAAACAGCATTTATATTAGAAGAAGAAAACAGGGTAGACTACAAGTCATACTGAGATCACACTGTGTATGTTTTTGTTGTTGTGGAACAAAGAAATGGTTGCTGTGGAAGAAAAATCTAAGTTTCTTACTCTAAATTCACTTGATCCAAAGGGAATTCTAACATCCTTAGAGAAAATCTTTGGTCTGTAATGTTCAAAATTCACCATGACTTGATTGATTCTGATTCGTCTAAAAATTAAGTGAAAAGAGAAATGCCACTAATGCAGAAACCAAAGAACACCAAAGTTGCACTTAAATGTTTCATCAGCATCAGAGCTGCACCAGTATATTTTTAGTTTCCTTTCAGGCTATACATAAGGTTTTTGAAGTTTCATGCAAATAGCATTCTCTGCCAGATCATTGAGATCGGCTAAAATTTCTAAAGATGATCCATTTCCATTTTGGCATTCACCCTAGAAATAAATCACCTAGTGTTTTTTTGTCTTTGCTGGAATTTGAACCTGATCTCCAAGGTTTGCACCCAGTTCATTGAACCACTAGGCCACACTCTTGGGTGCGGATTTGAACCCTTATTGTAAAGTGTATCATTCACATAGGGAAAGCAATTACCCACGTGTGAAGTCGTAAAAAGCTGTGAAACAATTCTCTCAAGCACATCAACACTATCTGTAGCCAATGGCACCTACAAGTGGCATAATGCAATTAAAGGAAATAGAAATTTCTTCAGTTAGAACACACGGAGCACAAGGTTATCACAGAAAATATAATACCGTGACAGAATGGCTCAAGTTATCACAAACACCACAGCCCAAATACTTTACTGGCTCCCCTGCATCACCCTTTCTTTTCTTTATCTGTATTGATAAATATAGGTGCAAAAGCAGCATAAGAACCAACTATACAACTAGTTTATGCTAAAAGTTCTCAGTAATGAACTATAATCTCAATAAAAAAATAGTGGCTTCATAAGACAAAAAACAGAGAGACCTTTAAGGTAAACTTCCTCCCTATCACTCCACACCCCTGCAAACGTAATGAAACCTCCTTGCAAAGGTTTAACAGAAAATGTTGTACCTGAATTGAGAAGGTGTTTACTGTCAATAAGCATTAGTACAAAGGGACAAAACAACAATGATATTTAGTGGAGATCTAACGTCTTTCAGATCCTTGAACCTCACGCCCCAGTTAACATCTGCACCTATGGATTTGCTTTCCTGCAAACGTTATCGAGAAGTTTATATATTTGGCTTGAACCTGCATGACTGATTATAAACAAAATGACAAACTTCATGATGCAGATTCACGAAACATGTAACTAGTATCTGCTTCATTTTGACAGGTACTAGAACAGCTTTTTAAGACCTCTACAGAAATACGATGCAAGTGTATATGTACTACTTACTACATTTGAAACAGAACGAAAACTTGCTCTGAAAATATCATAAATATATAAGCACACACACAATACCACTTGAGAGACATACTTATATCGGCACCAGAATCAATGACGCAGGTTAGAAGCAACAAGCAGCACAGGAGGCAAAATAAACACTCATCAATCATTAAGCAAGTCTCCAATATTCAAAACAATAAGAAACAGTGAAATAAAGGAGTCAATGGGAGTTCGTGAGTCAGTTATGTGACTATGACAAAAATCCAAAAGAAAAGCCTACAAATAAAAGCAATAAAGTAAGACATTCTGTGTTGGTCCTAACCTGTATCATGCCAACCAACCGGTCATCTATCCCTCTACTGTAGTTCCATAGCATACTGCCAGTTTTAGAACCAAAGTCCTTCTGGAGAGTTTCCTGGAAACACAACAAATGAGTGGGAGATATATATAGTCCAATATTGAGTATAATGCATGTCATCCCCAAAACATGGCATGCCCATATATAAAGCATTCTTTGTGCCACCACAATTGGTGTATCGATAAGTATCATATGAAGGAGAAAAGCATCCCACTTGACCAGCTGAATAACAGCAAAAAAATTATGAAAGTATTCACCAATAAAAAAATCGCTTCTTTAATCAATAAGACAAGTCTTGAGCAATTCTAAGAAAAGATAACCAATCAACGAACAAACAAGTGCTGTAATGTGTTCGACACACTTCGTTCTCAAAAGAAACAACCCCCATGCCAATAAGGAATTTCTTAAGCACTGATTAATCTTAGTTTCCACTAGACAAGATATTCTCACTTTATTGAATGATCATACATTTGGGAACATTTTAACCATGAATTTAACAAAACATCACTAGTTGAAATAAACTCCAGGAGCTGAGTAAGCCAAATAGGTGTAAATGCTATCTTAAATAAACAATGTACCTTTTCATCAGCTCTAGTAAATGAAGGTTCCAAGGATGCTAGACTTAACATGGGCCCATGAAACTAGGGAACAAGTGGCAGAGAGGACTCTGACTCGAGCAGACAGCATGAAAATAACAAACCTCATTTTTTAGCTATAGTTGAGATTACCTGTTAAACTTGAAACCTTTTTTCACAAGAAATGGAAAATATAGTTTCATGGAGAGCTTTGGATGGAGAAGGCATCTAAACAAGAAGATTAATCCACTGAATACCTGCAACCCCCACTGGCCTAGGTATCAAACAACACTACACCACCACAACCCCTTCCTCCTCCTTCCATAGTGTAGGAAGGTCGGAATAATTCAACTAGTGTCGTCCATGCTAGACTGCAATCCTTGGTTTCCAAGGTTGTCACTCCTTCTCCTAAATGCTAGGCCACCCGGCTTGGGAGAAATTCTGCTTATGAACTCTTACAAACATATCCCTTGATACAATTTTTTTTGATTTGCACCGGGTGTCCGAGTCTCTTTGAGCCCCGACTAATCCCGGGGGTGCACAGGCCCTCGGCAAGGAGTTTCCCGCAAGTGCACCACGGTTAATTCAGGTTTTACCCAGCCCTTGATACAATTTTGCAGTACCTTCCAGCTACTAGTTTTAATAAATACCATTATCTTATTATTTTTATAAACAATATACTAGCAAACATACAATGAACAAGAAGATCTCTGTAGCAAGAGATTCAATGATTCATGAAATACTCTTGTAGTGGTTCTTCAAGCATGAAACATATCTCAGGGAAACCAGATCAAAAGAGATGCAGAACAGTGCTTGTTGTAAAAAACTATAACTAGATAGAAAATCAAAACCGCGAGAGCAATTACCAATATATTGCAGAAGGAAACAAATACTAAACAATGAGAACCTTGGAAATCATACGCAGCTGCCCACAAGTTGTGATTTGTCTCCTGTTCAACTTCTCTTCCAACACGTGACCGATTCCAGGAAGTGCTTTTACTGGAAGTTCACACAGGTGCTCCTCCACCTAATATAGCCAACAAGATAAATCAGCACAATAATTATTTCACTTCTCTAAAATGATCTTCAAGTCTTTGTTTTCCTCTTCTGCCACTACATACAGTAGACACTAAAATATAAGATGATCAAAAAGGAAGTAGTAAATCAACAAAGATGTAAAAACAAGAGAAATGTGTTTGATATAGAATAGTATCTGTGATGGGACAAAACTAAGTTATCAAAATAGCCCAATTCTGGGACTTATCCTTCATAAAATATTCGCAGATTGTTTTACATTTTTATATGGTAATAAGAAAGTTGTAATTTATTTTCAAAAATTAGTAAAATAATTCAAGAATTCATGTTGATTTCCATCTAACTCCAGATTCTTGCAGCGGAAAAGGTAATCATACTTGAACAGGATGGACATAAACAAAGTGAACCAAAAAAAGCCTCATGTGGCAATGGAGAAACAGCTCACATGGCAAGGGCATGGAGAAGCCCTGGCAGAAACTTCGCTTTATGACAGTGGAGCCAATAAAATCTGATTTGACTTGCAGACATGTCCTTTCTAGAAGTACGTGCAAATTTACAATGCCTAGCGGACTATCGGGTAAGAAGAGATTAACTACAAATAGTTAAAGAGAAAGCAATGACATGTAACCGATAAAGATGTAGCAGCAAAATTGTATTTTGTAATACAATAGAAGATACACATATTTAGATGACAAAGATCAAAACATAAGTTCTCCCCCCTCTCCATACATCAAAAAGACAGCTCGAAATAAGCTACCTTCTCAGCAGGGATGTAACACTGCCCATCTGGTTTTGCAATCCTAGTAGCAAGACGCGCCATAAGCATATTCCCAGCAATACCAGCACTAGCAGTACAGCCTGTCGCATCAAGAATCTCCTCTCTGATCACTGAGACAAAAGTTTGAATGTCCTCTACTCCAGAATCAGTGGCATCTAAAAATGCTTCATCACAACTTACGGCCTGCATTCAGTAGCAATTATCAATCAAGAGAAAAGAACATCACGAAGTTGTTCAACAAGCAGTTTTGAGGCCATACCTGCACTTTGTTGCAGTACTTGTGCAATATGTTATAAAAGCGATCAGCAACCTGCAAATGAAATCAGATTTTATAGGACTCGATATCCAAATACAAAAGAATTCAATTGAAAGGGGAAAAAGAACAAGATGAATAAACTGAAATATCATGACCACCTCCTCATAAGCCTCGAAGTCATAAGAAAGAATTACTAGGTGAGGGCAACATGACTTGGCATCTCTGACAAACATTCCAGCCTTGACTCCTATGAGAAATAAGCTTGAATGACGATCAAATTTCGAACACAGGATAATATTTAAGAAAAGATTGAATTACTGACTGAAAGACTGACCATAACCCCTAGCAGGATAATTCGCTGAAGATATTTCAGCTGTTCCGCGTGGATTATCTGAATGGCAAATGGCAACAGGTTTATCCTTCAACTCGGGACGATTCCTAATGACCACAGACACAAAAAAGCAATCCTGAACAAGTAAAGTTGAACTGATTGTTTTAGTACAGAGAATAATCTACAGAGACAGGTAGTATAACATATATATGAGATTCCTTTAGATCAAGGAGAGTGAGAAGGGAGGAGAGCCAGAACATAGACGCAGTCACAACAACATAAAGAGGACAAGTCAAGTTTCTAGACCATCGAAGCAGAAATTACCATATCCACATGAATAATCATTGTCTTATTTGCTGTTGCTGAAGAACTAGGGCCTGAACTTGTGCATCTAAACCCACCAGGGGAGCTAGGAAATCGTTTACGATACCGGTTTCTCCAGGTGCCAATGAAATGCAACCTCGAATGCTGAAGGCAAAAGCACACGAGGAATACGTCAACCACTTTGTCACAAGGTGCTTTTAGTATTTGATATGCAATTACTTATCAATGTGCACATACATTTATATATATATTAGTTATACAATGCAATAGCTGCAAATAAACAAATTCAAAATAACAGATCCACAAGCAAAAGCAAGTAGTCTCATCGCATCAGAAGGCCCAAGAAAATCTGGATGCCAAGAATTTAATAGTAGTAATATAAGCAACACAATATCTAGGTATGATGAGTTGGCTGTTGATTCTTGGTATTCGGTTTTTTCTCAACTAAAAAAAAAAAAAGAATTAAGATTAGATCTTCCACAATCTTGAAAGGTCCATCATTTTGTCATCCCATATCCAGCAACAGCAGAAGCAAAAGCATAAAGTAAGTTGATAATGGTCAGTAGTTAAAGGGAATTTTAACCCAAAAAGAGACGGTTGCTATGTGCATGTGGATACTGTTTTGGCAATTGTTGTGAAAAAGAATACCAATGTCATATCACCCTTTAACATGTTTTTCTTTATGAGCTCAGCCTTGTCTATCCTTTGAGCAAAAGCTTTTTGCACATGAAAGGCCCCTCTTTGGTGCCCTATTAGGATAACATAACATGCGCTGGCATTTCACCTATCAAAGGTGTTGGAGATACATAACATCCCATATATATATTGTGTGTGTACTATATCCCACGTCGTTTGTGTAAAGGGCATCCTGGGGAGTTCATCCTAAGTTACTTGACCCATTGCCTCAAAGTCCAGGTTGGATGTTTAGTCTTAACACATCTTTCAAAATCGACTTCGTAAGCCCATTTTCAGACTTATTAGTCCGCATTGAAATTTACATGTGAGCTCCAAAATCCAGGCTATATTTGCAGAGAGGTGTTGTAATATGTGATGATAATTAACTTAACAATGATAACAATATAAACTAACTTTTCAGCGCCTCTAGCAATAAGGAAAAAAGAAAAATGAACTTGAGAGTAGATATTGTTCATTACAATCATTTTTTTGTTGTTTTTTCTTTTTTTGCTTCTTTGGGGGAGATAAATACAAGATGTTCTAGCAAGAGCAAAGCCAATATCAAGATAGCAACATATGTACCTTAAAGTAATTTTCCACAAAATTAGCATCAACTAAAGTTGAATGTTGCTGATTAGGAGACCTAGGAATCTTTAAATTTGATGGGCCCGCGTTAACGGGATAACTCATCCATTCGCTACAAACTGATGCATCGTTATGAGGACTGGAAGGTGCTGAAAATGGAGCTTGGCTTCCATCTCCACTTGCAGCATCACTCAGTTCTTGCATTGCTATGCTACAACTTGACTCCTCAACTCTATCTACATTGTAGTTTGTTTGCACTAGATCTTTAGATTGTAGAGCACAAGGCTCCAAATCTTCTGCAGATTGCCACTCTTCAAATGATAAAGGATCTTCAATTGGTCCAGAATATGACAATGGGCTCCCAACTCTAGATGTGGCTTGGATAGTTGAACATGTTGTTGTATCATCATTACAAGCAATGTTTTTTGTGAAGAAAGCAGATAGCTTAGGCTGGTTATTAACTTCACTTGCAAGCTGATCAAGCTGATAAGGAACCCCTGAAAACAACAAAACAATGATAGAAGAGCTCATAAGAGTAAACAAGTGGACAACTTGCTGGTTTGCATTAAAAATCAAGTCATAGAAATATAAACTGACAATTCAGAAGCTTATTTGCAGCAACAGAATCCAACACCCATGTGGCTTTGACAACTGGAAGTCCCCTGCTAAAGGACCTATATCAAATTCAAACCAATCTTAAAATAATCACAACTTCTATTTTCAGCAGAGATACAAAATAAGAAACTGATTGAACTTGGTTTTACAGCTGACCTTAAATTCTTGACCTTACTGTCAGGAAGATTACTACATATTATATGAGTAACACGACGCCTAGAAAAATAATTTTCAAAATGGCCTCCATGCTTCAACATAAATCCTCGAAGTTCCTGGAAAGATATTGTTGAAATCAATAAACTACAAGAGAAGCAACCTAATCTTCCATCTGAGAAAATCCAGTGACGTACAGAAAAGAATATGATAGCTATATAGTCAAGGTATTGATTACAATGAAGATGGATGTTTGAATACGGGTTTACATGCAGACTGAAATGAACTCCTTACAGGAATACAAGTAATCGTAGTCTCCCAATTCAAAAGTTAGAGAAGTTTTTTATTGATGAAACAGTATTTGACATCATTCATAGTTCCATTCAGGATGTTTTAAGTCGTAAATCTTGAAGCAACCATAACATATTAATCCCCGGCAAGAAAATCACATGAAATAGACCAGAAAGAAACCATAATGTAATAAACCTGACTGGAAGGAACCGTGTATCCATCAACAAAAATGGATACGCCCTGAAATATAGGTTTTGAAGAATTTGAACCACTGATAGAAGTGCTTGATGCCTCCGCCTCAAACTGCTCGTGAAGCTTCTGATTCTTGACGGCCATGTAACTACATCAAAGTTTTCAAAAGCCACAATAAGAAGATCAACACGAACTTTCTTTATTGATGAAAGTCTATTCAAAATCAATTGAAAACTAATTAATTTTCAAGATCGTGTATAAATATTCAAGATTGTATACAAAAATTCAAGATAATGTACAAAACTTTGCAAAATTAGTGCAAATAAAGAAATAAGTAATATTTTGCCTGCCAAAATTGGAGAAAGGTGAATTATTGAAGGCGGGACGAGAAGCAGAGCGAGAACTGGCACCCCAGGCCATGCCTAGGGTATTTTGACTCGTCTTCTTCTTCTTGTTGCTTTGATTGGAATTTGAGGTTCGTTTTGAATTGGAGCCGGAGTTGGCAGAGCGTGAGGGTTCCTCCATGCTCATCTCCGATTTCTGAGAATTGAAATTGAATTGAAACGCTGATAATAGAAACTTAGAATTATTATGAGTTAACTATACTGTTTTATACTAAAGAAATTGCGCATTAAAACGCGTCTCCCTCAAGCTTTAGTTTTACGCTAATCGAATTTAGAATGTCTTCTTGTTAGAATTATTTATTTTTACGCTAAAAGGTTAAAGATTGAGGCGTCTCCCTCAAGTTTGTTTTTTTTATACGCTGTGTTTTTTTTTAATTATATTATAATTATAATAATATGTAGAAAAATTATAGAAAAAATTACTTATATCTTTTTTGAAATCTATATATTATAATAATTACAATAATATTAATATATAGAAAATTTATTTCCAATTGATAATTGATACAATATTATGGAATTTTTAAAAAAATTATATTATAATTACAATAATATATAGGAAAATTATTTTCAATTGATAAACATTGCACAAGTAATCATTAGAGCTAATGAATGTGATACCGTAACCACATTAAAACTTTGTTACGTTATATTTTACTTTTCAAGACAATTCATTTCTAAATTAAATTTTCTCTCACTTTTTTCTTCAATATATTACTTTATAATTTGTTTCAAATGTTTATACAATATCAATGTGTCATTTACCGTTTGACTTGGGAAACCTGAATTTCAAGAAATTCTATGCAGAAAGAAAATTGAAAATTGCATTAGATTATGGTGAGTTAGCACATTTAATGTCAGATGAATATATAAATTGTTGATATCTTTTAAAAAAATCATTGATTTTTATATATTTTCGAAAGGGATATCTATTTTCCACGATGTAGTTATATATATATATAAAAAAAAAAAATTGCATCTGCTAATATACAAATTCTTGATCAACCAATTCATATAGCTTGTTTCAAAGCCTTTCAAATTTCTGTCACTTCAACTCAAATATAATTTGTTTGTGGTTTGCTTTGTTGTAGTAGAAATATTTTTATTTATTTTGATTTTAATATTGAAAGTATTTATTAAAAAGTTGATTTCTAATTCCACAACAATAAAAACAACGGATCATGAAAGCAATTTTATTTATGCATATAATAACAATTATCTTAATGTTAAATTCTAAATTACATTAATAAAAAATATTGATACTGAACTCAAAATATCATGCCATAAAAGTAGAGTTGTTTAAAATCGAATCAAAACCAATAATTCAAATCGGGAAAAAAATATTGATCTATCAATAATGAGTTATTGGTTTATTAATTTCGGTAATAGTTTTGATTTTATTTTTTTATTGGTTTATCCATTCTTAACGGCTTGAGGTTTTTTCTTGATTGGTTAACTGATAACTCGATAGTAAATTAATAAATTAATTTAATATCATTCGATATATAGAGTTCGTGACTTAGGGTTTAGTTTCATTCTTTTATTTTTTATTGTCTCATACTCTCGATTATTTTACAATATGTCGGTGTTTACTTTTGAGCAAAATGCAATTTGTCAACTCATGTGCATGGTTCATTTGGTTTGTCACCTTGTTTTTAAGTGATTATCAATGATTTTTTGTGTGTGTCAAACTCAAATCTCAATGTTAAATCGATAACGATCAATAATTGATTAATTGATACCCGATAAGTTCATATATTAATTGTTCTATAACGATTTAGCATGTCTACGAATCAATAATCGATAACCAATAAGTCGAACCGATATACTTTAAAATCGAACCGAATCGACCAATATACAATTCTACCTAAGAGAAAACTTTGAATCTTACCCCCACAAAATAACCAATATACTTGTTTTTCTTTTTCCTATTTTTTTCCCTTTATTTTTTTTCTAATTTTTTTTCTTCCTTCATATTTCTCAACATAGCCCCTTGTCGTTTGACTCCTCATTTTTCTTTAGTTTGTTTTTAATATTCTTCAGAATTTGAATATTATGCTTTTTTTTTCTTCAATTTATCTCTGTTAAATAGTTTATCATATTTGATATTTAAAAAATGCCCCATTGTACATGGAAACGAAAAATTAATATTTTTTAATCGTTCGATGAATATATTATCAAATTAATAATTTCTTGATAGTCAAACATCGCTTTCCTTTTTAGTCATTAAATTTGAAATTTTCTTTAAATTAAATAAAAAAATATCGATACATCATTTTTAAGACTATTTTAATCAAGATACAACTTAATAGTGGTCATATATTTATATAACATAATACTAAAAATATGTTTAATCTTTAAAAGTATTTTTGTAGGAACAACTCAAGTATATTTTATTTTAAATTAGTTCAAAATTTTCTTTCTAAAACATGTCCAACAAGCTTAACATTTATTATTGTATGTCAGAAGTTAACCAATAGACATACTTCATTTTAACACAATAACAAAAATATTCTTATGGACTTGATTTGTATTTTAACCTTCATTGTTTGTTAGAAGTTAACCAAAAAAAGTAAGAAAAAATATGGAGTTTTCTAGATTTTCATTTTGACCATTAATTATACAATTATTATTTTATTCATAAATGAAGTTAAACTTACTAAAATGAAATTGATCGTCCTTTTATTGGTCTTTTATATTATATAATAGAAATTACATATATACACCTTCTCAAAAATGAAACTAGTACAACCTTGATTTTAGATCCTAACGCATTTGAGGCCCAAGAAAGAATTTAAGAACAATTTTTTTTCACATAGATAATATTGAAGATTATGAGGGGAAAGAAGTAAAAATAAATAAATTATATTAGAATGTAATATACTTTTTAACCGAAGTTTAGAACTTTGAGTTAAAATGCGCAAATCTCTATACCGTTAAAATTATTTTTTTATAATAATATCTAAGATAATATATCACAAATATATGATTAACATTTTTATTAAATTCTTATGATTGTGAATAATATCATTATTATATAAAGATAAATGCATGTCTTTAAGAATATTACGCTAAAAATTAATATAAAAACCCCACAAAAATCAAATCGTATAATTCAAACCACCATTTTTCTTTTTCCTTTTTGGAAAAGGACATATTTAAGGCATACTCGCTGAGCTCTTTATATAAATATTATATATTCGTTCCATACTATGTGCACTCATTTCATTCCAAAAATTAACGTGGTAACAAGAATTATATTTCTGGATGATCAATGCATAATCCACCAATGATCCATCTTAAACCTTTTTGATTATCCTATGTTCGAAATGAACTCAAAATATATAACATTATAGTTAATATATTTTGTGCTCGAAATTAACTCAAAAAATATTACATTCTAATTAATATATCTTCTATTCAAAATTAACTCAAAAGATATTTACATTATGGTTAATGTACATAGTGCGTTGAAAACACATCGATTCAACCATTCTCCAAAAATCACGGTTTAGAAATTTATATCATGATTTGGAATTTTTAAATATAAAAATTGGCCCATAAGTTTATATTTTATTAAAACAACCCCATGTTATTTCATATATAAATAAAATTTATAATCATATCATTACTTTTAAAATTTTATTATTTATTACTTTAAATCAATTCCTACTTTATCATTTATATTCATCAAATTCATTATTTTTTATCAAATTTATTTATCAACCAAATTTATTACGACTACTTTAATGCTTAATAAAAAAATGGTTTTTCATCTATATTGAGGTGGGTGCTATATTTCCTAATTGTGATTTTATCATTCTAAACTCGATTCTGAACGATTTTCATTAGATTTCTACCCGGGCACCTTCTAATTACGTTTTTCCCATTAATTCATCATTTAATTAGTGATTTTATGAAACTAAGGAGTAATATGATAGGAATAATTTATCTTACCCCTGGTGTTTATAGAAAAAATGATATCTTATGACCTAAGAAACTTTCAAGTGAAAATAAAAACATTTCTTATAGAAATGACTTAAAATTAAAACTGAATTTATTAAGCACTACAAAATCATTCATCCATGATGTTATAGGATTAATTATACCACTTTTAACATTATAACTAGGGAAACAAGAATTAATTAAAGACAAGAGGAATGGAGTCCACGAAGCCCCTTCGAACTGAAAAGAGCAACACTTTTCCATTTCCCCAGAAGTTGTACAATTTCCAACACCCAGCAGTGTTACGTTTCAAACCTGCTGCTACCTACTGGTTTTGATCATGTCTTTTTAGTTTTTACATCCAAAAATGGGGGCTACAATACATCAACCCACCAAAACAAGAAAAAGGAGAGCAAAGGGATTGTTCATTGGGTAATATTATTGTTCATCATGGCGGCAGGTGACCAAAAATCAGCGCCGTTAAGAGTAGTATCAGCTACATGGACAGTCAGCTCTACTGGGACTAGACAAAGTCCTTTGCTCCTCAGCAACACCTCATTTTCCGTTTCTCGGCCCTCCTGTGTCACATTAATTTATAACATGTTAAAAAATAACTACATATGTATTTATCTGTTGTTATGATCAGGGTGTCTAGACTGAGCTCGGGTGCACCTTAACTATTTTTGCAAGGTACATGTTACCTCTTCTCATCATGATATGTATTATTGAGTAATAAAGAAAAATAAAAAGAAATTAACTCATGGCTACCTCTACCATAAGAGGTCATGGTCGCAATTCATTTTATTTACTACTAGGTTACACCGTAAATATATATTATTACAAGTTTAATTGTGGTCATGTCAATTGAAAGTTAGTTAAGAGCATAGCAAGTAGCAAACTTAATTTTACGTAAAACACCCTCGTCACTTGGTACAAGTTTGGCCAAAAAAAGTTACTCCTACTATTCACTTTTTTTGTGAAATAATTTCATTCTATTTAAAAATGATGAAAATTTCACATTCTTAACTCTAAGACAATAAAAAGGGAGGCCCGAAAGGAAAGGGAGGTTGTTGTACTAGTAACTAGTCCAGTAGTAAAAGAGAGGACTTTTTAGTGAAAAGTGAATTGGTCAAAATGAAAGTACTTACACGTAAAGAGGGAGGCTGTCTCTGTCTCTGGCTCTGGCGCTGCAAGTAAGGAGAACACAAGACGTGAACCTGATCGTGCAAAAACCTGATATATCCCATCGCTTCATGTAGCACTGATGCTGTATCTGTCTGCACTTTCACATCCATTTTAATGTCACCATATTAATA